TGCAGATAACAGTCAGCTGAAGTGGCCTGCAGTACTGCACCCTAACCACTGCGCCACCTCGGCTCTTATAAATATAGATCTAGGTTTCTTGTACAAGTCCTTTCTTGTAAGGAAAAATAATACACCGCGCTCGCACAAATACACACATACATGCACGAAACAGGACCTATCTGCTTAGTGCCACTGCAGTCCTATAACAGTTTACAAAAATACTTTCTTCCACTGGGATGACTGTTGTTCAGTTGCTAAATTCTCCACTTTCTAATTCTTGGGATTGATTTTCATTTGCATCTCAGGTAAAGAAACTGGAAGCTTGTTGGATTTAGTCGCGTGTAGAATGATCTCTTTGGAGGAAAAGAGCTGAATGGCCGCCTGCGATCATTCCGGTGACTGTAGGATCGGTCCTATAATCGAAAAGTCAGTTGGAGATCCACAACATCCCTTGGACCCTATTGGAGCAATGTTAGAGGACAGAGGAAGGATAGAGACACATCCTTTGGAAAACAAGAGAACTGGAAAAGGTTCTTCAGCTGTTCCGCCTGGGAAGTGTGGAAAGCTCTGGACAAGAACTGGTCAGATAATCCTGGAGGAGGAAACCACCCTCCGTTCAGAAGTTCAGCCTTGGAACTTCACGAGCATCCAATACCAGGAAGCTGAAGGTCCCCGAGAACTTTGCAGCCGACTCCACAATGTATATAGGCGATGGCTGAGACCAGAAAAGCACACCAAGGCACAGATGTTGGACCTGATTGTTCTGGAGAGGTTCCTGGCTCTTCTGCCCACAGAGATGGAATGCTGGGTGCGGGAGTGTGGAGCTGAGACCAGCTCCCAGGCGGTGGCCCTGGCAGAAGGCCTCCTCTTAAGCCAGGCAGAGGAGCAGAAGGAGCAGGGAGAACTGCAGGTGAGCAAACTTTGTTTTGGACTCCAGAAGGGATTAAAGAATGCGTTTGAATTGTTCACCCCTCCCTCACAGATGTTGCTGGCATTCAGACTACTTGGAGATATTTTACAATATATAATTTTTAAAGAAAGAAAAAAGTATGTTAAAAAAAACACATATGCAAACATATTGTCCTCCCTAGTTGAATGCTGATAAATCTATTACAGCAATATTGATATTGATATTTTACTAATTCTTGTAGGACGTTGTTGCAATCATTTCTCCCTCAGTGTCATTGATGGATATTGGGAGCTTTGCTATTGTGTTCATAGAACAAGAATCCATGTTTGATGTCAGTTAATTCTTCTTTTCTCCTTTCCCCTATTTCAAGTCCTTCCCTGTGGAGATCAGAGATCCCGAGGGAAGGAATAATCCATCAAATCCCCACCAGGAGCTGCTTTCTAGGAGGAACCATCAGGAAGACCCAAGTCAAGTTACCTCAAAAGGTAATGAAGGTCCCCCATTCCCCCAAGAGATCCCTGCTATCTTATCTTCCTTTTGTCTTCTGTAGAAAACCTACTCCTATTTTGTTAATTGTGCATTTTAATATCTGTCTTCCTCACAGAGAAACATAGGATGAAATTTTCTGATCTTTATGGTGGAGCTGAAACAGTGGTTGAACCTCCAACTGAAGTAAGAGCAGAAAAATAGTTCATTAAATTTGTATTCTCCCTTTCCTTTAGGAAGTTGTACTGGTGTATACAGCACTGTCTCCTTCCATTATTCCCTCTTGTTTTGGCTTGCATATTTACTTGTTCTTGAGCAAAGAAGATTCAAGTTGACACCATAAGCTTTTTGCTGAAATGCAAGGAAAAATTCACACACCCCACACACCAGTGGTGGGTTTCAAAAATTGTTCGAACCTACTATCTGGGTGTGGCCTCCTTTGTGGGAGTGGCTTGCCGCCTATGTGACCGGATGGGAGTGCCTTGCTGCCTATGTGACCGGATATGAAGATGCTGATGACACTTGTCAGAACCACCTTAAATTACCTCACACACAGCACTGGCATGCATAAGAATA